TTTATACTTCACTTCTCAAATTCTCAATGCAAATATATTTTATATACTATTACTAAAACTTATTCTACTACTATATATGAGAACATCAAAACACTTTTCAATAAACAAACAAATACTTTCTTACTTTACTTTTCAAACAATTTATTTAACTAGTATTATCAAAACCTTTGGTCTATCTGTAATATATATCAACACCAATAGAAAAACTCTTACAACATCATATCAAAATCCAAATATACCAAAAACAGTTTACCAACTCTACTCAATTCTTTAAACCATACTAAAACTCTTTCTTAATCGATAAATACCAAATCTTTAATCACAAAATGGCTTTTACAGAAATACTCACTAACAACTTGCATAATTTAATGTTTAGACAATTACTTGAAGGTTTCCTTCAATCTATTCTAGCTAGAACCTAATTTGAAATAATTAGCTATAGTGCAACATAGGAAATAAAAGATGTAATATTACATTAGGTGTCTAATTATAGCACAAATATAGTTTAGAAATTTTTAAATTTAGAACTTATATTTCTATATATAATAAAATTTCTACTTAAGTATTATTTAATAATAATAATAATAAAAGACTAGGGGCATAGTCTTATCTTAACACTGAAAAAAAAATCATGAAAAAAATTATAAAACAAATAAGTTAATATATGATAATAGTAAAATTATTGTTATATATTTTATATATTGAAATTGAATTAATAATAAACTAAAAAAAAAGTTTTGTAACTTAAAGTATTTGGTAAGTTGTTAATTTTCAAATAATAAATCTAATATTTAAAATATTATATTTGTGTGATAGTAACTGTTTCTTACTAATTAGTTAAATTTATATATTTGTAATCTTAAATATATCAAGTTAGGTTTTTTCTAATATTAAGAGCTTAAGGCATTTATAAGAAGTATAATATTATATATATATAGAAGAATATTAATAACTAGTGTTGTATAAGACTTTAATATAAATTTATAATAAAATCATTAAGTACAAAAAACTAAGAAATCAAAGAAATAAAAGCTTATTTAAAATTTTCAAGTAAAAAGATAATATAAACTTTTAATAATACTATTAGATTAATAAATATTCTTCAAAGAATTTTTTAAAAATTAAATAACAAAATATATAAAAGAGCATATAATTAACCAAATTTTTGAATTTTGTTAGAGAAAAAAAATACTAAGTATATTATAATTATTATTATTACACAACTAATTCTTATAATTTTTAAACCCAGTTTATTAATATACAAACTTCAACAAATAATCAATTATAATGCTAATTTAATTTTTATATAAATAACTATATTATAAATTTGAATACTTCACAATGCTTTGTAAACATCAGATAAACTTAAATTTCTAATAACTCTATATATACATTTCATGTTTAAATAAAACATTGATCCTGTTCATTTAAAACTAAACTTACTGCTATTTTATTAACTCTCATTACTGTTCTTAGAAACAGTACTATAAACATATATACAGACTTTCAATCTGTAATTTCTAAATATCGAAATTTTTTAAATTCTTTTACAACTTTATTATATACACACATACCTTATTTCTTACTATAAAAAAATACACTTACTAATTTTATTACTATTTAGTTGTCGTGTTATGTGATGTCAGAGTTCTAATATTCAAGCTTCGCTTTTGATTAGTAACATACATTACCTACATCACGCAATATGACAACTAAGTTTTGGTGACTTTTAAAATTTTGACCTTCGGGATTTTTACTTTCGAGATTTTGACTTTCGGATTTTGGCGTAGACCCCATAAAAGGATATACAAAATAATTTAATTTTAAAAAAATAAAATAATTGGTTTATTAAAATTTTTAATTTTTAATACGTATATACGTATAATATTGGTTTCTCTTTTTACTAAAATAGTTAACTTTGATCTTTTCAATAAAAATGCTTAACGAATTGATTTATACTAATAAGATTAGATTTAGTATTTTAAAATTTGATTAAAATTAGTGTGACTAAGAAACATGCATTTTAACTTGTTAATTTTAATGCAGGTGCACAAAACGTAAACCCCAAAATATAGAAATTCTTTATAAAGTTAATTTAATCTATTTTAAGGGTTGAAAAACAACTTTTGTTAAACCCCAAAATATAGAAATTCTTTATAAAAGTTAATTTAATCTATTTTAAGGGTTGAAAAACAACTTTTGTTAAACCCCATTTTAGTAAAAAATCACACAGCTCATTATTTCGAACAAGGAGGTCGTCTAAAGCCAGGTAGCTTTTAAATTGATTACTAACAAATTTGTAAAGTAAAATCACGGGGCACATATAAATTACTACCTGGTTTGAACAAGTTATTTGAGTAAAGTTTCGTTAGATGATGTCATATCATGTGATTCGGCAATTTTTATCAAAGGAATGTATATATAAGGAATAGTCTACTTAACTGACATTTTTTTTCCCGCCATATGCCTATCTTCATTTTGCCAGAACAAAGACTCGAAAAACATGGACCAAATTATTAAAATAGTTAATATAGAAGAAATCGTAAATCAAAAGCTGCACCATTCGAAATTTTTTATTGCATAGGCCAATTAAATGATAAATTTAAAAGTAAGATAACCTTCCATGACGTATGATTTACAATAAGTTTGTGGAAAAAATGCAAAAAAAGTTTAAATATTTAACGCACCCTACCGTTGTTGATCTGATCACCTCGGTATGATCCGTGATTAATGATACAAAGTTATGATGTAAAACATTTTTGGCATAGAGTTACAAACAAAGTCCGATAACCATGGAGTTACTATGAATTATGAATTACAGTTAGGAGTCATATGCGACATATGATATTCTCATTATTAATCAATAATTTGAACATAGCGATCACGTGAAGGAGATCTTCAATGAATGGCCTATAAACTTGTATAAGAATGTTAATATTATTCTTGCAAAGCAAAATTGGCGAACCAAAAGAACGAAATAAAGCATAGCATATAAATGATGGAATTTGTATGGCTTAATTTTAGCCCATTTCAGTATTTAGTATTAGCCTCAATATAAAAAATTAAAAATGGTGAGTATAAGTCGCGAATACAGGTTGATCATAGGGATTTTACTGTCTAATTATAGTAAGACGCGATAACAGTTATAACTATAGATTGTTGTGAATCTATGATAATTGAATCTTGCTCTAACTATTATTCGGTAACATTTTCAATATTATTCAGTATAACTCAATATTATTCGGCGTTTGCAAGTTTCTTGAACTATAAAATTAGAAAATTTCAATGGTAATTAATAAAGGCATTTGCAGATCGTGTTATTTCTCTGCATTAACCTTCTCCTACCCAAACAAAATCCTTTTTTTTTAAAAAGTAACTTTACTATTTATTGTTTCACAGCATTATATGTACACATAATGCCCCATAGTCCTTTCATGCGCGTTGTTTTGTGCCATGTTCTCGCGATCGAATTTGTCAATTGTCATAGCGTGACAGTTAGAAATATTTCACAGTTAATCGGCTGCTTTTTTTTATCACAATAAATTTGATACCAATTCGCTGCCATCATTTTCCCGTTATCAAATTAATCTACTGTTATCTTATCTAATGGCCACGACATATTGATAGACTAATCATATTGAAACTATTTATTTTTAATATGATAAATATGATTCGTTATTGCATATATTCATTACATGTATTCATTAAAGGAAACAATTTGATGTAGAATTTTAAATTATGTACTTTGAATTTTAAATTATGTAATGTTGTATTTCGATATCAGGCTCAGAATTTCCATTTAAACCGAACAAAAAGTTCACACGGATATTTTTTATAAAAAAAATCCGTGTCGTTATCAGTCCTAAAGTGAAATATACTCAAATTATACCATTTCACTGTTTACAAACTGCATGCATTATTATTTTCGAATATAAATAATATTTAACCAATCTCTGCAAGTGTTCAATCTTATTACCCATTTATGAAACAAATTAGTTAAACGCGAGTGATATCAGAATTTAGTGCGCGATAAAGTATAGATAAGTGTAATTAGATCATAATGATTATATCACAATAACAACACGAGACAAAATGCATGCACCTAACGTTTACTTACACAATTAACGCGTGTTACTTTTTTTTTGTTTTAATGAAACAAACCTCCTTGGAAATTATTTAATGTTGCGCGGCGAGTTCCGTAAAACATGCATTGTGTACACTTATGCTTTAAAAGAAACGTAGATTAGTGTAATTCATATGTTTTAATTGAGTAACTTAATGTTCAATTGATATTTATACAACCAATATTAACTTTTAAGAATCGTTCCAGGGTCAATTGAAATTGTTCGTTTATATCACAATTAAAACAACCAATAGTATTATTTAGGCAATTTAGGTAAATGTTTTTGAGTGGTTAAACCCTTACAGACGCCAAAATAATTTAATAAATCGATCATGATCAAATTATAAATTGTTTAATGCCCTAAATAATAAGTTTTTAATCTTTATTTTGATTTAATAATAAGAATCCAAACTAAGTTGTTATAATCATTATCCATGATCTGTAAACGGATCGTTTGCCACCGAAGTTGCATGTAGCATAAAATCGACGGGAAAAATTTTTTTTGCACATGTTCAGAGCCCATTTTACGCCCTGTTTAAGATGTTTCTAAGCCACGCCGAATCTTGATAATTATGTATGCATGTTGTTGATCCTGGTTTTTTGTTTTTATAACGGGTAATTTAGAATTACGTAAATCACTTTGTGAATATGCATGTACATACAAACATATTGTTAATGTTAAATGCGTATGTACTGTACGAATTATTTGCATTCAAACATTTTAGATTACTTGGGAAAATCTTCCGAATTTCATTTTTCCGAAAATACATAATACCGACTAAATCAGCCAGAATTGTGTTAATGTTGACTAGCATTGTGAGGGGAAAATCAGCCTGAATTGTGTTAATGCTGACTAGCATTGTGAGGGGGGAACTCCATGTCTCTATGTTATGGTCTAATCCTGAAAATATCATCAAAATCTTAAATTGTTCATCTAGAATATATTTTGACCTACTGACTCGTCAACAAATATTTGTCCCCGTGTCAAGTACGGATTTCTACACTTGTATGAATTAAACCTTTTATACAATGACGTCACCTAAACATCATTCTACTCTTACCATTTCCGCTTCAATCATGTTTGAATTCTTGAATTTTTTAGCCACAGACATGTTCTACATGGAAATAGCTTAGAAAAATAACCACGCTATATAAAATCAGGTTATTGAAACTTGGCAAGGGAATAATTATAAATTCCCTTCCCTACTTTCTGATATGCTGATAAAATTAATTAATTAATGTTTCTTCTTTAACTATTTAAAAAAAAAATATAATGAATAAAATTATATTATTTCTTATTGTTATTCTGGCATTTGCTAATTTAGTTAAACCATTTTCAAATAATGAATTCGAGAAAGATAAGGAGAATTTGGCAAGCAAAATTATTTTAATTCCAAATTCAATTGCTGTTGAAGAAATTCGTCATTTCATGCCACCACAACAAACTGATGGTTCAGCTCCTGGAAGTACATCAAATCCGACTGCTAATTCTCCAATTCCAACAAATGTTCCTAATCCGAATGCTAACCCAAATCCAAATGCTAATCCTTCCAACCCAAATCCAAATGCTAATCCTTCCAATCCAAATCCAAATGCTAACCCTTCCAATCCAAATGCTAACCCTTCCAATCCTATTGTTGGAACTCCTAATCCGACTGCTGGTACTTCGATTCCTAATCCGACTGCTGGTGCTTCGATTCCTAACCCGACTGCTGGCACTATCTCCCCAACTTCTGCCAACAATTTAAGCCAAACCTCTTTAAATTCACCCAGTTCACTCAGTTCTAGTCATCCCTCTCCACTTGTCGCCCCACCTCCCCTTAGTAACACTGTATCCTTTACTGTCAGTCCTTTTACCATAGGTTTCTCGATGGTCATTGGAATAATTTTACAAAGTTTTCTATGCAGAATTGTATATTGACGATTTTTCATAAAAAAGATATCTTTTTAAGGAAAAAAAATTTTGAACTTTATTTAAATATTTTCGAGATTGATCACTGTAAATATCTAGAGAAATTAATTTCACGATGATATATTTTTTTGTATATTTTTAATTACGTATTTAACCGCTTTTACTTATTTAAATATATCTTAAAAATACTAGTCTAACTAATCCCATAACAATTTAATGTTTTTATTTCATTCAATACATTTATTAAATAATCTATTTGAAATGTCAATACTATAAAACTTAGTTTTCAACTAAAAGATGTTAAAGGTATATAATACTCTAAAAGTTTTATTTCTATGAAATAAATTATCGTAAACTGCAAATCCACTTATGATATACACCCCAGAAGATTTGGAGGTGTATAACTTTTGAGAATACCAGGGGTGTACAACTATGAGGATTGGCAAAGCTGAGCATAAAAAAATACAAACACAAATCTAGTAATTGTAAATTCCCGATACATTAGTCATCAATTTACGGTCTGTATTTAAAAAAAAAGCGGAGATTCTAATTAAAGTAAATAAATGACAAAATATTTTGTAACAATAATAAATTAATAAATTCATCTTGCAAATCTAGAAATGGTAAACATAGTTAGGCAATGTAATCGTTTATGTAATCAATGCCTAAGATGTTATCTTACCTATTCTTTACTTACCGTATTGTTACTATATTATTATTACGACGATTCACAGGTGCAGTCTGAAAAAAAACAATTCCTGTGCCTTAAGATCTGCTTATCAGACTGAACTTTGAAAACACCACAATTCTTTATTTATTATTGTTAAATATTACGTAAAAACATTGATTGTAATGCTAAAGTTAGGTAATCGTTTAGCACTGCCTGTTCATATAAATGTCCCTCATATGGTATCTGAAAGTCCGCGGCTGGTTTTAAAATAGATTGGCGCATCATTTCCAAAAGAAAATATTGACGTAAATCACCTTGTTATAAATGGATTTTTAATTCCTAATATGGTATTTTCTTTTTTTTATAAAAAGTACATTCGTATGGCTATGTAGTTACTGACCTGCCAATTTTGATTTTTTTTTTTTCGGGTTTCTTTATTATTTATGCTAAAGAATTTGAATTTTTACATATAGAGTTCCAATAATAATATTCCTAATATGGTATTTTCTTTTTTTATAAAGTACATTCGTATGGCTATGTTGTTGCTGACCTGCCAATTTTGATTTTTTTCGGGGTTCTTTATTATTTATGCTAAAGAATTTGATTTTTACATATAGAGTTCCAATAATAATAATACCTGAAGAAGAAACAAAAATTCAGTTTGACATTTTAGCATCACATGACTAAATAATTAAATATTTCTGATTCGAAGATAAAAATGTTACACTGGCAATCATAAAATAATGCAACACATAGTAATTTTGTACGTAATAAAACATAGTAACTATTGAAATTTTCATTCTACGTATAATAAAAATTTTTAGTAAAATAATTTCATCAATTGTAGTTTCTAAAAAATATTTTTAAAAAATCTGAAAATATATTTTTTTTAGAAACTAAATTGATGAAATTTATTCTGATGTAAAAAAATTATTTTTTAAAATTTTTTTTTCTAAAATTTTTATTATAGTGAGAATTTCAATAGTTACTATGTTTTATTATAAAATTTATTACGTGTTGCATTATTTATTATTGCCAGTGTATTACGTATTAAAAGAAATAATTGCTTATACTGTATTTTAAAAAATAGAAGTATATAAAGCTAAACACTATTTTACTATATATTAAATTAAAAAAATTTAAATCAAATATAACATAAAACTATTAATAAAATTGATTATTATAAAAAAATAAGAGAATATTTTTATAGCACTGTAATGTTATGGCACTATGGCATTATAATCAATTAAAATTTAAAATTAGGTGTAATGTAAAACGTAGTTTTGTATAACAAATAAATTTTTTAAAAATTTAATTAGAGTTCAAAATATTATATATGAACCTATTTTTAGTGTTTTAATAAAAAAAATCTTTATAAAATTTTACTATAAGTCTTAATTTATTTATTTATTTTCTCTTTGGCAGTCTTGTTATTCCTAAATATATAAACTAATGCAGAAAAATTTGCCTGCAAATTTGTATTTTTTTAGTTCTGATTTATTTTTTTAAAATGTTAATATATTCAAATAAAATTTTATATAATAATATTTGAAAATAAGGATTACTTTTTTATAGTTTTATTTTAAATTATAAAAAAAAAAATTTAGATTACTTATAAATCAAAAATATACAATTTTGAAAAAAGTTTTAATAAAAAAATATTTTTAATTATTTATAATAAACTTTTAAATATTAATTTTAGACCTATAGTTTTTAATACAATTTTTTAGTTTATATTAATAATTACAATTTTATTTATTTATTTATTTTTATATATTAAACTAATCTCTTTAGGACTAGGGTTTTTTATTCAGTAATTAGGATATAGAAACTTATAGCCAAGGCCTCAAGAGAGTCACCTTTACATTAGAGAATACAACTAGTCATATATACACTTTTGGTATTTAATTTATTTAGTCTACTAATAGTTCTATATTAGTTGCTATATCTGCAACTCAACTAGAAGCATTACTTATTTAAACCTTCTATACTGTAATCCTTACTGTATCATTAAATTATTTCTAATACATATATCAGTTAAGAAAATCTAAATACTTATCTGTATTCTTAAGACCTTATATTATATTTCATACAATGTATCCTCAAAAGCATCATTACTAGAGTTTTCTGTATCCTATATATAGCTAATCTAGTTTTATATAATACATTATAGTTACCTAATACTTGCAGTTAAGACTAACCTTAAACTGCTATATTATACTATTTCTATTTTTGTAAAGTTTACCCAAACCCCAGTATTTATCTTTTTGATATTTTTTCTATCATTTTCTACTAATTGCAATTCAGAACTAACAAACTTTCCAAACTTTCAATCCAAATAACCCAATATGATATATCTTAGTATTTTTTTTTTTTGACAATTTTGGTAATCTAATTGGTTATATGCTTTTCTATACATTTTTGTCATTCAGTTTATTCATCTGTTTCTATAAAGATGTTTTGTAAGCTTTCATTAGTCTGACAGTATTGTTGAAAGTTTGTGCTATCTTTTTACTCAAAAATTTCTAAATAAGATTTTGTCTTTTTAGTTTTTTAGTCTTTTGCTTTAGTGGTCTTATTATGAGTTTATATCGAAGTCTTATACAATACTAATTATTAACATTTCTCTTTCTATATATAATGTTACATTTTATATAAATGCTCTGAGCTCTTAATAATAAGTAGAATCTGATTTGATGTATTTGGATTACAGCTATATAAGGCCAACTGATTGATAAAAGACAGTTTTTGTAATATAAATTAATTTTTAAATTTTGTTATAAGTAAGATTTGAACCTTAGACCTGTCATTTGGAAAATGACAACTCAACTACTATACTAGAATTATTATTCTTTAAAATTATAATTTTAATTATTACAAGTTTTGTAATTTATATATAAAAATTAATACTTATAATAAGAGCAAAATTTTTTTTTAGCTTTAAAAATATATAAAATTTTAAAAAGCTCAAAAATTATTTTAATAATAAACTTTAATATTATACAACCTTTAAACTTAAATAAATTAAAAGTTTTTAATAAAATTAAAAAAGTTTCTTAAAAAAGTTTATAAAATAGATATTTAAAAATATTTTTTTACTTAAAAAGTATATTGTTAAAATTAATTATTAAAGTTTTTTACAAAATTAATTTTTTTAAAAAAAGGTGCAAACCTCTAAGATTGATAGCATAGTGGTTATGTTTCAAGATTACAAATTGCAAGGTTGCCAGTTCAAATCCTAGTGATGACAATTGTAGAAATGCATTTATAAAATAAAAAACTGCAATACTGTAACATCAGAAATCTAGAATATCATCAGATAAACTTATTTATAGAAAAGGCAAGTGACTTATGATTGAGAAGCCATCTGGTGATGAACATAAGTTAGAATCTGATTTGGAATAACTGAAGTTATAAGATGTAATGTAAGACTAAAAGTCAGATAATAAAAGATACTATATAAACTTATAATAATAGCTGGTTTTAAACAGAGTCTGGTAAAGCTCTTCGATTCTAGCAAGGGTCAGTATGACAAATCAGTTTTGGAAAGTTTAAAAACACAGACTATAGAAAGTCAAGGTCTAGTGACCAAGAATATTGAGAACATTAGTTCAAGATATAGGACATGAGAATAACCTTAGCAAGATCATTAAAGGAGAAAAAAAAAATGCAGACAAATTTGCATATAATACAATTTAAGAGATAAACCTTTATTAAAATTCTTATATATATATTACATATTTTTTAACTTAAATTTATGATCTGACAACTTATAGTTACTTTTTTGAGTGTCTAAAAGTAGTTTGTTATACTGGTTAGACATATACTTAGTTTTGAAAACTGTATCAACTAGCCAAAATGATTATATATAAATAATCTTGATTTACTATATATAAAATTTGTAATTTTTTTTGTTAAAAACTATAATTTGTAATAACACTTTATTGACTTTTATTGGGTTAGTTATTACAACTATTTTTACAGAGATAAGAATATAGCTAGTTATACATACAACTTTTGGTTGCCTATTTAAGTAGTTCATTCTAGGGTTCTATATTAGATATCATACCTATAATTTACTAAAAATTACTTATTTAAACTCTTTGATCATCTGTTCTGTCATGATATAACTTCAACTAACTCCTTATATATATCTAATCAGTATACTGTCTGAGCAGTATAGTACCTACCCTTTTTGTACTAATTCTCAGACTATTACATATTTCAGAGTATGTTACCTATCAGTAAGATACAAAGAGCCCTCTATTGTTAACTATCTATTCACTTTTAGAACACTAACAAGAGCTACTCTTATAAAGTTCATCTAGACTCTAGTACT